GCATACCTGGGAAGGATTTATTCAGAAGAAAAACTAAAAGTGGTAATGTTTAATTTTTGTCCAAAAATGTAATAAGCCAATGAAAACATATGGAATATAGGAAGAGCTTGAATTGGAAGTAGATATTTCCGAGTAAGCTATCACCAAAATATCCCATTTATTAATCTCATTCTGTCTGTGTTACTTGCTTAGCCTTACTTACATGATTAGTCTCCTGCAAATTCTCTTGTTCACCTGTGTCCTCAACAATGTACTCTCATGAAACAATCCAACTAGTCCTCTTAGTATTCCAATCCCCTTCTGTAGAGTGGTGTCCTGTCCTACAATCAGTAAATTCAATCATCATATCTTCCTCTAGGAGACCCCTGATGACCTTGGTCTAGGCTTCACTTTAAAACTCTTTTCTTACCCTTCTTCAAATTCATTTTGCTCTGTTGTTTTTGATTTTCCTCAAATATGCAATTTTCTACCTCCTTACTTTCACATGGGTTTTTGTATTGCTCACTTCAAAGATCAGGAAGCTATTTACCTCTTAAAATAATAGAACTATTGTGCAAAGCTATATATTTGCAGTTGAATCTTCATGTATGTTCATTAATCGAAGATTGTCTCAAAGATAGGTGGTACAGAGTCTGTGCCACCACACTGGTAATCCTTGCACTAGGGATGTTGAAACAGATTCTGAGTCTGAGGCCAGGTTCAGTTGCCTCAATAACACACAAACAAAACCACAACCTATATATATTATGCCACACTGTTCATATGGATTTTTTTTTTGGTCCAGTCGTGGAGCCTGAACTCTTGGCCTGGGCGCTGTCCCTCAGCTCTTCAGCTCAAGGCTAGCACTCTACCACTTGAGCCACTGCACCACTTCAGGCTTTTTTCTGTTTGCTTATGTGGTGCTGAGGAATTGAACCAAGGGCCTCATGCATGCAAGGCAAGCTCTCCACCACTGAACTACCTTCCCAGCCCTCATATGGATTTCACTAGTCCACAGATTGCATACTAATGTAAGAGAGGTCAGATGAACAGAAGATGAGGAAAGGGGTAGCCAGGGAGCCACCATTCATTATCTCTCCTCTACTCATCCAGACAGAAAGACACAGCCTCAAGGTTCTAGAATGGTCAGGCACTTCCTTTGAACATGTCTTAGATGTCTCTGTGACTCCATGGTGATATGGCATCTCTCATTCCATCCAGGAGATTCGGGTCATCTAGTATCATTGTCTTGCTTATATTTATTATGTAAGGTCTCCATGCTAATATATTATTAGCAATATACAAATTACCATTTTGTTCAAAACTTATTTTCAAATAGTGCTTAGATCTTAAAGTAAATTTTTGTAAGCAGAATGAATTAGCTGGCTTTCTTAATCACTCAACTAAAAGAATGACTAGCTGTGATGTAAAGAAGGAGAACCCTACACCAAAGCTATTTATGACCTAATCATAAAATCCATGAATGCGCTTAATTTACACAATAAAAACAGATTGAGTTTATGATGGAATCAAGTTTTCTAATCAGGTGAGCACAATACCAACATGTGTCCCAGCATGATTCAGCTGTGCAAAACTAATTAGACTGGAAGATGGAGCGACAGATTCATAGAGAGATTTGTGGCTTTGAAGATAGAGAAAAGTAGTCACAGGAAATGGGTAGCCTTGAAAATGTGAAAGAATCAAGGAAACAAGTTTATTCCTAGGGAATTGCAGTGATACAGTGTTCTAGTGACATTTTTGGTGTTGTATGAGACAGAAAGATGATGGATAAAGATAGAGAGGAAAAAGTTGAAAAGCAGAAAAAAGGAAAAGAAAGGAGGTAATAGAAATAGAAAAGGAAAAAGCTCAGAACATGGCAGCTGTTTATAGTACAAATGTAAGTATATTAGGGACAAAATAATTAATTTTAAAAATAAGGGTCAGCAATAAACCTCACTCCTCTTGGCAGAACTCAACACACACACTCAGTTAAGGAAGGCAGAATTCCCATAGAAATGTTGAATGGACCCTTTCTGCTCAAATAGAATTTTAAAGACTAAAACAATTAAAATAGAACAATTACAATTAATGGTAATTAAACAGATATTGTCATATAAACATATATTGTTTAATATGCATATGAGCAACACATTAATTCAAGGATCTAAGAATATAAATATGAAATAATTTCTCAAAATTGCAAAAAATCACTTTAGGTTAGGGTTATGATATGCTTGTTGTTTCAGTTTTCCTAGTAAACTTCTATTCATTTATTTATTTATTTTTAAATTCAACAAACACTGGAAATTAAAGCCCATTGTTAGGCTTGCAATTTGGTTTAGACTATGAACAAAGACTTTGGGGAAAAAGCTATCCCTAAGGTCATTACCAGTTTGCTTGGTTTTCTTTAAGTAGATGTATAAGAAAGAGGAAAATGGGCATTTATTGTCAAAGGTACACTGAAATTTTGAATTACAGAAGGTTAGACAAAACAAAAAATGTCTGTGTACTAGCTGTCAGTGAGTTGAGCTTACCAGAGATTGTGTGGGGCTAAATTATTCACACAATTCCTCAGGCATCATTCTATCTTCATTTTAGACAGCTGTTCTCACATTATACAAGGAAGAAGGAAAAATAAATTTCAAGCCATGGAAAATAATGGTGAGAATGTTCATTTTTCTAAAAGTAATCCTGCATATTTGTGGGAAAGTGAATGCAATCAAGTTGCTAAATGTTGTATACTTGTAAAACAATTGCAATGCAATCATTTTTTGAAGACAGGAGTAAATGAGATTATTAAGAAGATAGAATAGCCAAGCTTGGTGGTTCATAGTTTTAATCCTAGGAACTAGGATGGTGGTAGAGTGTTGTCCTTGAGCAAAAAAATCTCAGAGACATTGTCCAGGTTCTTGAGTTAAAGCCCTAGGATCAGCACACAAGAAAAAGATAACAGAGTGTATATATATATATATATATAATTATGTATATATATATATACACACATGGATCATGAGATAGGGTAGTGTGAAGTTCAAGAAGAAAACGCCAATGTCTTAAAGTACAGCTTTTTATGATCACATGTGAAATGGTGAGAATGTGGAAGAAGAAATCATTGTGACAGGTCTTGATTTAAGGAAATAAATTTTTCTGTAGGTCATTGTGCTTTAGAAAATAAGGGAAAATGTGCCTATTTTGACTAAATGCTTTGTTCTGGAGGAGAATCAAACAAAACCATAATAATCGCTGAATCTGTTATGAATAAACCTTCCTTAAATTAAATGGTTTCTCCAATTGAAATTGCAATTCTCCAATTACTAATTTTTTAAATAAGTAAGATAAAGGATCTTTTGGATGTTAAAATAGAAATATGCATGATTCTAACCCGGTATTACAGATTTTTATTACCATCATAGCCATTATTATTTTCATGGGTTTGTAATACACCAGAAAAAGCAGATGTGGTTGACCTCTCTGACAACGGTTATTTGTAGACTAAATAAAAATACAGACCTTTACTTCCCTAGATTCTAGATGTCTGAGACACATAGTTGCTGCAAATGACTAAACCTGAAAGCCAAGGGTACAGCTTTAAAATCAATGGATCCTCAAGCGATATGTTTTCAGGAGGGCAATGTACAATAAAACCATTTACATTCATAGCTTGTTTTGATGAAGAACTCAAAAAGTCCCTTTAATTATAGCTATTCCACATAAACTTTCCTCTAAAGTATTTAGCAATCTAGAGTGCCCTAAATTTCATCAGTGAATATTCAGGCATTTAAATCACACATTTTTATTCCTAAAATCTTTCTAGCTGTAATTTAATGGCCATTCTTCTCCCCCTTGCTCGAAATATAACCCAGCCAAATCGTAAGCCTTCTATGAAATTGGAAACGTTAGGATATAGAAAGAAATGTTCACCTTGAAGGGATGAGTGTTTCTGTTTTTGTGTTCCAACAAATGGATCAACGACACATACCATTGCAAATAACTCTGAGCATCCTACAGTATGCTAAATTTGAAGATGGAGGAATTACATCAGACTTCACACCCCCTTGCTTTCTGTAAAAGAATTTTTAAATCACCTCATATTATATTATTTGTGCCTCTCTTTCAGGATTTTCCTCTAGTGCATGTTTACAGAATGGCCTCCTTTCATGACAGAGGTGATTGCCAAGGAATCAAGGGATAATTGGAACTTCTGTCTTTCACAAAAGAATAAAGGAGTCTCTCTGAAGTTGAAGGAGTTATCCAGGTTACAACATCATTATTTCAGAGTTATATTTGTGTGCTTTAAGTGATATAAGTCTTCTTTCTTTTTTTCCTTTTTTTTTTTTACTATGGGAACTTAAAATCAGACAAAGGGTCACACATATATTTATATAGGATCTGAATTTTATAAGGAAAAGAACCTACCAAACTTTCTAGTTCTTGGCTTTTGGAGGACTCTTTAGCTGTGGTAGTTATCAGCCCCAGTAACATTCAAAAGGGAAAAAGGTGAGAATACAAATTTTCACTTCTACATCAAAGAAAAAGCAAATGTTTTCTTTTTAACTGTATTTTTTTTGTCTTTTTTTTGGCACTGGGGATCGAACCCAGGACATTGCACTTGCTAGGCAAGCGCTTTGCCACTGAGCTACATCCCAACCCAGCAAATGTTTTCTTATATACAAACATGTTGCCCAACACATTGTTGTTACAAATTTAAGTACGGAGTCCCTTATACAAAACATGGACGAAAGGCTTTAGAGAAACACTGGTGAGAAGAAACTCAGGGGATTTGGTTTATCTCCCTGGGCTTCACTTCCTCATTTCAAGTAAGGAAATGGTATATAACAGGGATATATGATCATCAAAATAGAAGCATTTCAATTTCCTTGAGCAATTTCTCAACCAAGCCGCAAGGCTCAAGTCTTTTCCATTTTCAACCTCCAGAATTACAGACTTGTTTCAAGTTAGAAATAACTTCTGACAATCCATTTTCATGTGTCCTTCAGGTCATCTCTTTGCCTCCCGGGAACATGACCTCATGGACTTACTCCATGGAAACAGCAAACAATGTAACAGAATTCATTTTCTGGGGTCTTTCCCAGAACCCCCAGGTTGAAGCAGTTTGTTTCCTGGTGTTTTCCTTTTTCTACACAGTCATTCTTCTGGGAAACTCCCTCATTATGTTGACAGTTTGTCTGGGTCACTTATTTAAGTCACCCATGTATTTCTTCCTCTTTTTCTTGTCTTTTGTGGACATTTGTTATTCATCTGTCACAGCACCCAAAATGATTATTGATCTGTTAGTAAAAACGAAAACTATTTCCTATGGGGGGTGCATGATGCAAGTCTTTGCGGTCCATTTCTTTGGTTGTACTGAGATTTTCATTCTGACTGTCATGGCCTATGATCGGTATGTGGCCATCTGTAAACCTCTACACTATATGACCATTATGGACCGGCAGAAATGCAATAAGATGCTACTGGGCACCTGGGTGGGTGGTTTCTTACACTCCATCATCCAGGTGGCTCTTGTAGTTCAACTCCCCTTTTGTGGTCCCAATGAGATCGATCACTACTTTTGCGATGTCCATCCTGTGCTGAAACTTGCCTGCACAGACACCTATGTAGTTGGTGCTGTAGTGACAGCCAACAGTGGTACC